TTTCAACCAGGCATGGTGGTACATGCTTTTAATCCCAGCACTAGGGAGGCTGAAACAGGGAGATTGCTTCAAATTTGAGGCCAGCCTGGGCTACATATTGAGTTCAAGGCCAGCCTGAACTACAGAGCAAGACCTTATTTCAAAAAAAAATTACGGCATCTATTTAAAAAAAAAATAGGGCTGGGAGATAGCTCAGCAGTCTAAGTGCCTTCCTGGCAAGTACCAGGTCCCAAGTTCAATCCTCAATACCACATGCCATGTCGGCCACGAAAACTGGGCATGGTGGTACACACCTGAAATCCCAGCACTACTATGAGTCTGAACTGCATAACAAGACCCTGTATCAACAACAAAATAAATAATAAGAAATGATAATAAAGCATTTTCTGAATTTAGATTAGAATTTATTCACCCTATTCATTCTATGCCCAACTTAATCATGACTTTCCTTGGAATTTGCTCCCAGTACATACTGATCTCTCCTCCTGAATTTTGTAGTCCTTATTGTCTTTCCCCAAGACATGCTTTAAATATCAAGTTAAAACTTGTCATTATATTCTTTACAGTGTATGTAGAAACCCACCATTAGAAATGTATGGACCAGGATATAGCTCAGCAACACAGTATTTGCCTGAGTTCTATTCCTGGAATCCCCCCACAAAAGAGAAATACTTACTCATTAAATATGGGATGTATATTAGCTAGTAATATTGTATCTGTTTAATTTTCTGAATTTGATCTTTTTTTTTAATTTTAATTTTGATAACAAGGTTTTCCCTGTATAGTCTAGGCTGGCCTTAGATTGAATTTGATAATTTTGCCCTCTGGTTATGAAAGGGAATACCTGGTTCTTAGGAGATACTTGCTGATATATTTAATAATATGGGTCATGCTGCTTGTAACTTGATCTAAAGTGGTGCAGCAAGAATAAAAATAATTATATACTCTGAGGGCAGAGACCATAACGTGGCATAGTGTTAATAATTAGAAAGTAAGGGAGGTGGCCATGCGAATGTACAGCTCTTAGTGTAAGTTTAAATTTTTCTTCTTTCTTTTTCTTGTTCTTTTGTGGTACTGGGTAGTAAATTCAGAACCTTACATGTGCTAGGCAAGCACTCTGCCACTGAGCTAAATTCCCAACCCTAAGTTTTCATTATTTTTAAAACAAAAAGATTTATTTTAAAAAGCCCTGTTCAAAAACAAACAAACAAACAAACAAACAAAAAACAACCCTGTTCTTTTAGCTTAGTGACCTTTCTGCCCTAACCAGGAGTTCTAGAAACTATGACTGCTTCAGTTCTTCCTGCAACAGAGTCTTTCTAATTGGTCTTGGGGGGCCTCTGAAGATGAACCTAATATGCATCCATTCTGTGCTAAGAATAATGTATTCCAGGGCAACCCATTCATTCAGGACCTTTCGTGTCTCTCAGAAGCTGTTCCTATTCCCCATTCCCCATCCCGCTTCTCCAGTAAATTTTCCTGCTTAATCTCAAAAAACAAGGAGGGGGGCCGGGGAGATGGCTCAGTGGAATAAGTGCTTCCCTGGCAAGCGCAAGGACCTGAGTTCAATCCCTGGTTCCGCAAAAAAAAAAAAAAAAAAAAAAAAAAGAAAAAAAAATTCAAGCTGTCACTTATATTTCACAAGGGGATTTTTTTTTTTTTTTTTTTTTTGGCAGAACCAGGGATTGAACTCAGGCCCTTGCGATTGCTGGGGAAGCGCTTATTCCACTGAGCCATCTCCCCAGCCCCAAGTGGATTCTTAGTGTACTTTACCTTGGCCATACCTTAGAAATGAATTACATTTTTGTCAGCAGTGGTGGGACAGTTGACAGGCCTATACTACTTGAATACAGAAAGTCAAGTGCCCCTTGTAGATAAAGTAAGGAAAGTGGAACAAGAAAGAAAAAGTCAGATTTGCTAAACTAAAAAGTATCTTGAGAGAATTCAAAACAAGATCATAACCTAGTTCAAACCATCTCTTTACTTCTTTCTTGAAGTCTCTGTAGCAAGTTTTTGTTGTTAGGCCAGGTGTGGTGGTGTGCACCTGTGATCCCAGCATGCTGGGAAGCTGAGGCAAGGATGAGCCCAGCCTGGGCCATTGAGGGACTTAGAGAGACCTTAGAGAGTCTAAAAGTAAGAAGCATAAGAGACTGGGCCTACAGCTCAGTGTGCAAGCCCTGGGTTAAATCCCCAATGTGCACACATGCATACACACACACACACACACACACACACCCCACACAAAAGAGTACATATATGAAAATAAGTCTAATTAGAATTACTAGACTGGAAAAATAACGGCACCATGATAATTGCTGGCACATTTTAAAGGTCTTGCAAGCATCCCAAACTCAAGATGCCTTGGGTCACAATGGCATGGCGGTCAGTCTCCTAAGAGCAGCTCATCCAGAAAGGCTCCCAAGAAATCTACAGAGGATGCCAAGAATGAAATTGCATGCATGAGTCCTGGTATTATCAAGTTCCCCATACCTTGAAAAAAGAACCCACTGAGCCTGGGAAAGGATTTCAATACTTCTTTAATAACACTGAATTTACACAACAGTATGGGTCCTCACTATGGTTGTAGGATCCGCAGTGGTTCTTTATTCTCCCCACCATCATTAAGGCAAGGGCAGAAGTAGGGGTAAAGTTTCTCCATGAAAGTGCTGTGGAAGGTGTAAATGTGGCTCATGGTATTTGCATTGTAGAAGGACACCTGCCCCCCCTCGTAGTCCAGGTAAATGCCCACCTTGGTGAGGTTGTTCGTCAGTTGCAGGCTGCAAGAAGGCAAATCCAAAGCCTTTAGGTCCGTCTGGTTCCTGAGTCTCAGGAGCCAGAATCCTCGCTCAGGAGTTAGAGGACAGTTGCCCTTCCGGATGATGGACTCTCTGGCCACGCCAACTGTCCACTTTGTCTTCTTGGCTACTTCCACTTCCCAGTACCACTTTCCAGATGTGAAGCCCTTGGAGCCCAGCACCGCCACGCTCGAATCAAACCTCTCCGGGTCATTGGGCATGATCTGCTTCACATCACCGTGCCACACGCTGGTCCGGTCTTTGGAAAGCACTAGATTCGGGTGAGCTGTTTTAGGGTCCAGAGTTAATGGATACAGGCCTAGTGGGAAAATAAAAGAAAGCAAGGCATGGGAGGAAAGGGGTTTCAGTGCGGGTTCCCATAGGGAGAGACAGTTTTCCTTTTTGTCTTTTTGAGACAGGGTCTTGCTATGCAGCTCAGGCTGGCCTTGAGCTCACTACATAGCCCACGCTGTTCTCAAACTCACAATGATCCTCCTGGCTCAGCCCCCTGAATGCTGGAATTACAGGTGTGGACTACTACACCCAGTCTGATAGTTTTTCTAAACTAGTGCTTTTTCTCTACAGATATACCAAGTCATATATTTACTTTAGGCATTATTTCTTTCTTTTTCTTTTTCTTTTTTTGTATTTTAGGGAAGGGTCTACAGGGTGTTCGGGATCTCACTGCTAGATCTGACTCGTAGTGATTCTCCCGTTTACAACCTCCTAAGAGCTGGGATTATAGGCACATGCCACCACACCCAGTCTCAATGGCTATCTTAGTGCGCCCCCAGGGTGGGGCCTTCTTGGCAGGCCCAGGATCAAACCCTAGGCCCCTGTGCCTGCTTGCAGGTGCTTTAATCTGCTGAGCTATTTGGCCAGCCCTTTTTAGGCATTATTTCTAAGGGAAAATAAGTATTTTCTTGTCATAGGACATGGGTAAGGTGTATTTTGAATGCCTCGTGGTAAACAAGAGGGAGAAAGTAGGTTAAATACAGTACTTGTGTGTGGGAGAGGAGGTAAGAGCTTCTTCCCTCCCAGAGATTGGTAAGACTGATTTCTGAACAGGGACTCAAACTCAGGACCTTGCACTTGCCAAGCAGGTGTGGTTCTGCAGAGCTATTCCAGCCCCAAGATAGGTAAGACTGAGTAACCATTAGGGTTTAGATGCCAACAGTGAGACGTTTATGTTCAGTTTAAACAGATAGACATTTGAGATCTAGAGCGCTTCATGCTCAGATGTGGTCAGCCAACTGGCTACTGACCCAGGACGATTTATGCAGAAATTGAGAGTAAGCTTTGAGGAGCTTTCAGAGCAATCTGAAAGAATAATTTCATATCAGGCGAATCTAAAAATTACGAAAGTGTGTCTTTGTAACTTTTAAACTAACAGACTGTGAGTAATTACATGTATTCTACCAATAATAATAATAATAACAATAATAACACTTTAGGATAAATTGAGATTTAAAAACATGGAGAAGCTTAAAAAGTTGATCATATAGTGATTACTGAGTCTGGAGAGGAGTAGAGTGAGATTGGGAGACGGGTGCCAGTGGGTCGGAGGAACTCTAGTGTACGGTATTCTAGTACAGCAAGGCACTGTCATCTACAGCAGCTTACTATGGATTTCAAAAATACCTGGGGGAGGGTGACGCTTCTTACTACATAGAAAAGGGAAAGGCTCAAGGAGATGGAAGTGCTAAATGCTAACCACACAAATTCTAGGTGTCAGATAACGGCACAAAATTTGATAACAGGAATATAATAACTGGTCACATCATGAACTCAGATACATATGCATACATTTATTGTTATCAGGTTTATTTTTCCTTCAAAGTGGGGTCAGCAGCAGCACTCAGCTGTCTTCCCAGAAGAGCCTGAGTCTAAGGACTTCTGTTTCTAATAAGAGGCTTGGAAGCATTAAGGGTCCTGAATTTCTCCATACAGGGTGACAACCCGCCTACCCCCCCCCCATGCTGTGGGTTGTCTGCTAAGATGAGGACTAGAGTTTCTCTAGTGAGGCTGTCAGGACCTTTTACTGACCTTCACAGGATCCCAGCTTGCCCACACCACGCTCTGACACTTGTCGCTAGCTCAGCCCTCTGGGGCTATAGAGATCCTTTGGGTGTGGCCTGTTTGCTTCTGTCATACTTTATGGGGGAGTTTTGGGAGCTCTATGCAACTGCAGATAGCTGTGTTTTGAGCTTAAACACTTCCAACTCCTTCCACAAACATACCAGTGGGGGCTGGTGAGATGGCTCAGTGGTCTAAAGCACCTACTTAGAACAAGCTTAGCAAAGTACAGGGACCACGGTTCAATCCCCCAGCACCACATGCCAGCCAGCCCTGCCCCCTGGTGGGCTGAGCTGGCCACACACACAAAAAAAATTAAAAAAAAAAAAAAAATACCAGCGGGGAAGGACTGTAGCAGCCTTTGATCTGTTTCTGTTCCTGCCCACCTACATCTATCTACCTATCCAAATTCCCCTCCAGGGTCTGAAGACAGCAGGAGAAAAACCACATAGTGGCACAAGTAGATAGTACGGTACATTTCCTGTTTTCCCGATCTTTGATACTGCCTACAAATCCTGTATTTTACAAATCAAATTCTCTTTGGTTCTTTTTTTTTTTTTTAATTACTATTTGTTTATTTATTTTGTGTATGTGTGGCGAGCTCAGCCCACCAGGGGGCGCGGCTGGCTGGCATGTGGTGCTGGGGGATTGAACCGCGGTCCCTGTACTTTGCTAAGCTTGTTCTAAGTAGGTGCTTTAGACCACTGAGCCATCTCACCAGCCCCTGGTTCTTTTCAACAATTTCAGATTTTCCACTGCCTCCTCAAAAGTTCTATTCCACCCTTTGTCCCCTCACTGAGTCGGAAGTTTACTCTCTTTCATGGAGAAAACAAAGCACACGCGATAGCATCCCACAGTCCTTCCCCCTTACACTGCAGGGTCTGTGGCAGCGCTGGCAGCTCTGCCACCTTCCTCGCCACTCCTCTTTCAGGGGAACAGGGAAGTCAGCGTCTCTTTGCTGTAGCTCTCTCTCGCACACACGCAGTCTTTCCTGCTACCATTGCTTACACCTTTTCTTTTTTCTTAATTTTCACATTTGCAGTATGTAATGATGGTCTTCGTTCTATAGAGTCAGTACTTGCACATAACACCGTTTATTTTTATTTCCACCCCCTTCCTCTTGCCCTTTTTCCTAGTCCCCTTCTCATTATATGCCCTTTTTTTTTTTTTTTTT